GTACCTACTGGCACTAAAGTGTCATCTAATGGAAGCAGTACTACTAGTAGCGCCACAACGCAAGCTGTTAGTACTGATAATGGAAAAAGGACACTAGGTAAGTCATGTATCACAATAATAGTCTATTAATGCATTACCATATTAGGTATAGAGGATATTGATTATGGTAATAACAGTTTTAAATAAAGCTCAATTTGGTCCAGTCAAATGGAATAACTTGGGCCTAAAGTTAGGTCTATATCAGACAAGACTCAATGTCATTGCAAAAAGTGGTAATGATGCATATGAGCACTTGAGGAAGACAATAGAAGCATGGCTAGAGGGTGCAGACAATGCTAAAAGTAGAACATGGCAGACTTTGATCAATGCTGTGAGGGAAGCAGGAGATCGTGCAGCTGCTGAAAGAATACCTAAAAACTAAAAACCCTTTACTATATTACTGATATTAGGATAGTACAATTTTAAGTAATTATTATGAGTTAAAATGATTGGCATATTCTTTTGGCAGAGGTGCCAGGAGCTAGTAAATAATTGCTATCATTTCAAGTAACAACAGGATAGGGGAAGGGCAGTATAAGGTCCTTTCCACTACACAAGAAATGGAAAGGTGAATGAGTAGGTTAATATAAAAATAACACAGGAAATTAAGTTTTGATAGCAAATCAGATAGCAGGAATATTTATATTCCAGTAGTGTTGCTATCTGCCCAGTGTAGAGAGTGTTGAGTAACAGAGCTTCATTCTAAACCTTTTACTGTTCTTCTCTTTACAACTGACTAACATGTCAAAAAGTAAGTGCTTAACTATATGACTTGATGTATGTATAATTCTATTCATGTGATGCTTTATAGTACTGGTGTACTCAGGACAGCAACAAATTAAATATGTTATTTCTATAGACTTATCTGCCACTTTCTTTGCATTTTGCATAGTTTGGTACTAAATTTATTATTTCTTCATGTTTTAGTACTGGACATTAATGACTTGATCAATGTGATACAACGGTTAGAGGAAACACGTTTTGACAAAACTAAATGGAAGAAATTAGGAGGGACACTTGGACTGAGTAACAATACACTGAAAATGATCAATAAAGATGAAAGCGGTGAGACTGAAGATTGCTTTAGAGAATGCCTTGGAGGATGGCTGAGAAGATCTGATAATGTTGATAAAGTTGGTAAACCATCTTATGATACACTGGCTGATGGTCTTGATAAAATAAATGGCTGTACAACTCAAGCTGAATATATAAGTAAGTGTATAACAGACAGAAATAATAATTATTCTTATAACAAAATTATGATTAGTCATATTCACACTAGAGTGGTTTTAAATTAATATACATCCAGAGCTATAAAGTGGATTGATTGCCTTGCCTTGTAATCAAACCAATGGCTACAAGAACACAAAAATAATACATAAGCCAGCTGTGCATTATTTCAGTTGTATCAACAAAGCACATTGAGACCTTTATTTGCTATTAATTTTACTGGATTATTGACAAAACTCAATATTAAAAGCAGCATAAGTGTATACCAGTAACTGTTTAGCAGGTGCTGCTATGACTATGCACAGGAGTCCATGAGTAATCATCATGGACTCTTTCTATTCATAAATAAATTATTTAAGATGAATATACATCTACAGTATATTTTTAGGAGGTTTGACAGAAGGAAGGAAACCAGCTAAAAGTATGAATAAATTGAACAGTAGTGGATAAATTTAACTATTCTCTAATCTAGGGCCAAAACTTGACCCCACTAGTACTAAGAAAAGTGATGCTGGATACAGACACAATGGTATAATAACCTGTAATTTTACAAATAAACAGATATTAGCTATTGAAACATATAGATACAGCTTCAAAAAGCAGATTCATACTGACAGCTTAAATATAAAGATAGAGCTTAGTTTAGGGCAAGCTTTACCACACTTGTGGAATCCATACAAAAGCCGCAGCTAATATACGGAAACCATGCAGCCATAAAGTGCTTCCTATAATAATCGTTCATATTGATAGATTACTAAAGTGATCATGACCTTCTTTAAGTTATGCTTCGTGTATATTATTTTTAGATGGAGGAGCTCAAGCAATTACTGGTATTGAGGATATTGATGGAACTGTACAAAAAGGTAACACAATGCCATAATGTATGCTGCTCAATCAAAAATAATTCCAATCATGCTATATTTAGCTTGTAAGCTGCTTTATAATGTAACAATTTTTTAAAACTAATAATCATACACACACACATATATAATATGATATAACATACCATACATCATGTCTTGCATCCAAGAGTCAATTGTTTTTTTTCAGACCCACCAAAATGGCAGTATAATGATGAAATCGTGAAACGTGTCCCTAAAACCCAAAAGTTTACTAAAAGTCTTGTTAAAGATATTGAAATCCTACTCATGCCAGCCACTACAAGTGAAGAGGATCCAGTCGTGTATTATCTGAAGCAATCGTCTAAAAAGCTCATTGAAACTGACATTGATGGTCTGAGGATATTCATAGGGAATTATGGAAAAAGCAAGGTCATTGTTGTGATGACCGCACCATCTAAGAGCAGGCAGGGTCCAATTCACGCTGGTGTCATCACCTCAAAAATGTTAGAAAATTTTCCGAGCATCAAATATATTGTTGCTGTTGGTGTCTGTTTTGGAATGGATCCAGGAAAGCAGAAACTAGGTGATGTTGTGATTTCTGACATGATCTGTGATTTCACAAATAAACGTGAAGGAGTAGGTCAAAATGAGTATCAGAGAGGCCCTCATCCCGATGTAAAGCAAGTTATTCTACACAAATTCCGACCTCCTCATGGTTTTAAAATGCTACATAATATTACAGTTTCCATTGGTGTCCTTATATCTACAGGCAGTCTGATCGATAATCCTGATGTTAAACAGGAATTACTTGCCCAAAAACCTCATGCTATTGCAGGAGAAATGGAAGGAGCTGGAATAATGACTGCGATTGATTATGCCCCTGAACATGGTGTTAGTGCTATTGTTATCAAGGGTATTGGGGATTGGGGTGATGGTGACAAAGAAGCCACTAAAAAATGGAAGCCATTTGCAGCCCGTGCTGCTGCCCATTACGTACATGCTGCACTAAATGACTGGGAACAACTAACTGACTGAACCTAGACTAGTTCTAGTAATTATAATATTGATAATCCAGATAAGTAAACAAATCTTTGTTTGAACAAAACTAGTAGCTGAAAGTAAATTATAATTGATCCTTATGTAATCATAATGTTTGATAATGATAACAGTTTGTTGAAAGGAATTCTTAGTAATGCATTACTGTGTGTTTGTTGTGATAAACTCAATACCAGTTCCAGTTTCATTTCTAAAAGGATGAGCTTTAGTATCCTCATATC